TCGAAGATTGCAGTGTTTGAAGATGTAGATTCTCAGGAGGCAACAGTACTGTTGACTTCTCCCTCCACTGGACACCAACTAACTATTTAAGTTGATTTACATACAAAGCAGAGCTTGCAACATGATAGCTATTCATAAAGGGTGTTTTTTTTACTTATCATATAATACAGTAGTCACACAATGAGGCAGTTCGTATTTGTCTCTGTAAATCATTAATTTTTGACAGACACCTGTACAAAATACTTGGACTAAAGCCAGCTAAGATTTTCTGTTATCTTGCATGTTTTATGAATCTATTCACGTCTAAATGCAGAACTTTTTTTTTTGCGATGAGGCATTTATTTTTATACTAAAATATCTGAATTACTTTGAATAAAACTGGAAATTATGTCCCTTAAAATAATTAAACAAATAAGGCACCAATGTTTTTGTAAGATATTTACATCTTTTAAGGACATTCGGTAGACTGATTCCCCACTGTTGGTTCAACCCCAAAACTTGTTTGTATTCAAAATTAATTATGACAATGCATATTTATATTGAAACAAACTGTGATAAAGGGAATTATATTATATAACAAAGGGCAAGGTCACCAGAGTTCAACTATGTTACTGGTGCTGGATTACCAGTAGAAATAATTGTATGTATATCAGATAACATGGCACATAAATTTCTCCATATATATTACCATTGTTTTATATTCTGAACAGTGTTTCCTTTTCTGTACGCATAAAATGAATTCAATGTATTTTAAAGTTGATACAAAAATCCTGATCTACTTGCCACCACTATTACCTTTTTAGCTCCGCTGTCGACTTTGTCGAGCGGAGCTTATCATATGAGTGATTGTCTGTCGTCGTCCGTGTCAATGTTTTACTTTTTCGACTTCTTCTTGAAAACTACAATCCTGAATGCTTTGATACTTGGTGTATATGTACCTTGGGTAGACCTCTCTCAGATTTGTTCATTTCATGATGATATCTTCAATTCTCTAATTTTGGTGAGTATTTTTGTCATTTTTGGTAAAAAGTGATATTTTCGACTTCTTGTTAAAAACCGCAAGTCCAATTGCTTTGATATTATTACATATATAGGTACTACATGTGGACCTCTCTCAGATTTGTTCATTTTGTAATGATATCTTAATTATCTACAGTAATTTTGGTGAATATTTTTGTCATTTTTGGTAAAAAGTAATATTTTCTTCTTGTTAAAAACCACAAGTCCAATTGCTTTGATATTACATATATAGGTACTACATGTAGACCTCTCTCAGATTTGTTCATTTTGTAATGATATCTTAATTATCTACAGTAATTTTGGTGAATATTTTTGGTAAAAAGTGATAT